GAATTATATTTAATGAGATAATGCGCTCTGATTTCCGGACTTTTGCGTATTCAATCCGCAAAAGTTGCAATTTTTAGGCTGTGCGGGTCGTCATGAACAACGCTATGGACGAAGTTTCTCGTTATGTTTCCAAACATCAATTTACGCCTCTGACCTATCAGCAGAACAAATCTTGGGAAAAAAGCACCTGAGCATGAACGTTGAAACTGATTCGTGGAATCATTGCTTCCGATGATGATCATGACGAAGCTCTTTCACAGTCCGTTTCCAAATTGTCGTCGGATAAGAATACCCCAGAACCAGTGTCGGATGATCTTATTGCGTTAATGATCCCATTCAGAGACGCACCCACCAGAAACTTGAAGACTCAGATACTAAGCATTTACGCTTATGAATACTCTGCTCCCAAATTGCAGAAATTGCACGAATTATATTGCAAAGTAACGATGTGGCAAATAAAACGAGCAAGGGAACATGCGAAAAATGTTGGTCCAGGGACACCAGTTGAGAAAGTGCATCGCCATCGCATTCGCCTCAACATGGCTAAAGTTGATCATTTTGTCAGTTTTATCGACAGACCATACTTTTATCAAGATACTTCCTATGGTACAAGGAAATTAAGTTTTGATAGCGGTGAGAAAATCATCATTCCAAACGTCATTCGACAAGATCGACAATGATTATCCAGTACCTACAGTATTGTAAAGAAGAATTTTTGATCCTCTGAGCCGAGCGACTCTATACCGCATACTAGAAGTTAGGGAAGCAGCCCAGCAAAAATCTCTAGCTGGGGTTGATAACACTGCATGCTGCGGATGAAGCAGAGGTTTTAATATTCTTTCCCATATTATCGATCAATTGCAAAAAAACTGGTGTTGGGAAAAAATGGTGTTTGGATGTGAGGAAACGGTTGAGCGATGAAAAGCTATGTATATATATATGTGTATATATATATATATATATATATATATATATATATATATATATATATATATATATATATATATATATATATATATATATATATACTATTTAAAGCACGCCAAGGAGTGTTTTATCACATATAAAACACGACGCGTAGCGGAGTGTTTTATATGTGATAACACACGACTACAAGTGCATTAAATGGCTTCAAAAACGACTCATCTTATACGAGTTCATTGGCGAAGTAATTTTTAAAATAAACTTTGTCTAAACCGAGAAAATCAAAGCTAAAGTTTATGTAAATTAACGTGATTTTTTATCACATATAAAACTACGACACGCTTATGATTTTTCCTTGTGTTTTGCTCCTGAATTATTAATGAGTTTTTGAAATATATATATATATATATATATATATATATATATATATATATATATATATATATATATATATATATATATATATATATATATGTATATATATAGTAGAACTTCACATTTGTTTACTTCAGAACTTTGGAAAATTAAACTTGTTATCATGATCCATACAAAATTTCTGAAAGAATACTTCCAAGTTTACAAAGAAGCCTCTGCGAATTTTGCTTTGAATTTCATATTAACGCAAATAGGCCAACCTGCTTTTCAATAACTGACCCCAATTGTCTATATTATCCCAATTGTCAGGTATATATTACATATATTTAACTTCTTTTGATTCTATTTTTCTAATTTAGAAAATCAAGCAAGGAGAATGGGCAATGGTAAGTACTGTATATTTTGTTAAATATTTTGTTTAGCATGAAAATGTCAACTATCAACATCTTAGTGAGTGAGTGAGTGCACTTCCAGTATGTACTGTAACCTAAATGAATATTCTTGAAAACTGATTGTATTTTCTTTAAAGGACATTGGCAACGAAAATTTTTATTGGCTATTTCAATCCTACTTGACAACCTAACTATGAAAATATTATCATTTCCTTCTCGAACATTTTACTCTAGGAGTAAAATGCATGCAAACTTTGTGTGTCGCCGCCATCTTGGAAAAAATGACCTTCGAAGGTCAACGAATTTTGTGACGTCATTAGATGGGTAGCACCAAAACTACAAGTGAGAATTCTATTGCGTGCGTGTCGTGTTAGCCAAAAATATGTCGTTTTGAGCGTTATACTGGCCAATACTTTTCGCAATCAAACAAGAGAAGCCTACACTATCAGATAAAAACATATCGAGCGACTGGGAAAGCAAGGAATGGCGCAATTTACAATACAGGTAATTGATCATAAAATATTGCATTAGTGTTTGCCTTGTTTATACTCGAATTACTGCGTTTATTTAACACGGACTAGGACTGATATACTATCAGAAATAGTGTTACAAATAAGGAACATACTTGGTAAAACGTTTCTGCCCTTCGTTTAGGCTCAAAGTGCACTACGCGTGGTAATACTCGGTATTGTTTTATAGTCATGAAATTGTGTTTACCCATCTAATGACGTCAGATAATGTATGCTGTGGCACAAGTGTTTATTTTCAAAATGGCGGACTACTGTTGAACTTTTTATTACATTTTCTCAACAACTAAATGCGACAAACCGGCCAAAATATAAAATTAAGTATTCCGTAAGCATACCTAATAGATATAAGCAATAAAAATTTTGGTTGCCAATGTCCTTTAAATTTAGGATGTTGCTATAAGTGTGGCCTTCGTGGCCATTATGCTGTGGCATACTGTTCACGTATGTACTTTACTAAAACTACAAATACTAATAATAGTCATGTGATATTACAGTAGTCAAAAACATTGGACCAATGGACCTTTAACCTTATAACTAAAATTTTGATCTATACAAAAATTTTATCACAGCTTGAAAGAGCGTCACAAAATTAGTAATATTCCAAAGTTTCGTTACGAAATGTTGTAAAATGCGGATAGTTTAACCCCGCGAAATTTGCAATTTTCAGTAATTTTAGATTACAAACGTGAAATTGATACCCAAATCGGGTGTTTGGGTATCAATTTCCCGTTTGTAATCTAAAATGACTGAAAATTGCAAACTTCGCAGGGCTATACTATCCGCATTTTACAACATTTCGCAACGAAATTTTGGAATATTACTAATTTTGTGATGCTCTTTCAAGCTGTAATGAATTTTTTGTCTAAATCAACATTTTAGTTATAAGGTTAAAGGTCCATTAACTTTACAATAAATTTTAGTCATTATTGTATGTTGGAAAATGAATGTTTCTTTGACAATATTCCTGGAAAATACAAAAAGTAAGCACAATCAATTCTGCATATTTAGAACATTAAACATTGTAAAAGACAAATAAACCAAAACCCTAACTGTGCAATATATTACTGTACAGTTGGACTTGCCGGGATGAAGTCAAGCTGTGCAAATCCAATTTCCAGCATTGTTTCATTTAAAAATAAATATTTTAAATTATGTACGACACCATGTTGAAAAATTGCTCGAAGTAGGATCAATTTTGAGTACAGTGAACATATGGAAGGCAACAACAACCCTCAAAAAAGGCCCATAGAAATAACAGCCCTAACTTATTCTTTCAAATAAATACTGTAGGACCCAATAACAGACTAACCCATTGAGTGGCAACACTCTCCCGATGACAAATAAAATTGTCTGGTATTATACATAATACAATAACAAAGTTGAGTGCATATTGGTGTATTTCCACTTGACGGGTTAATCCTTTAATAGCCATACTTTAGTATTTTACTCTGACTGTCTAATGCCAGATGATTTTGCTTGTCAAGTGGAGAGTGCTGCCACTCAATTAGTTAATAATACTACATACCAGAATTTTATATTTTCAAATATAGGCATAGTATGTTGGTTGTGCGGTGAACGCGGGCACGCCAGGATCAAGTGCCCCCAAAGGCATAATTCAAAAGAGGGGAAGGGACGGCCAGTTGTTTTTAACCATTGCAGATTTGATCAATTAACAATGTAATTTTATATTGTTACTATATCAAATCTACAATTGTTAAAATTGTTTACAGTAATAAAGGCTGAATTTGACAGTTAAGTTTACGCTTTTAAATTGATATATTAGGGCTGTTTATATAGAACAGCTAGCCCATGCAGCCATCTCACCAGGTCGATTACTTTCTTCCCTGTTTTGCCTTCAAGATTTTCTCAAAATAGTTGATAAAAATATTCGATTCAGATTAAGTGTAAACTGGTCTTTTAGTAAATCAAAATTTTCCTTTCGGCTTTGGGTCAAAGGATATATTTTCTTGACATAAATTAGCAGTAGTCCGCCACAATAAAAACAGCCCCCTTGACAGTTTGTGTTGTTATTACTTCATACATGAAACTACAATATCATGACCATACTATCATGGCCATGTTCTACTGTATATACAGTAATTGCTCTATAAATATACTTTATTCGTTCATTATAAAATAAAATCATAAATGTGTAAATTTTGGACTGTACCTTGTGGCTTGTTTTCACAACGCAATATTATATACCAATAATAGCTATACAAGTATGAAATCCCACCCTCTGTTTCTTTACAATTTGCCAATAAAGTGTATGTCATACAAATTCAAGTCAGTAATATTAATAATGTCACAGGCAATTTCATGCTGGCGTAACTGCTATAACTCCATTCGTGGTTACAAATACCGTCGCTTGCAACTAAGGGTGAACAGTTGCAGATAACACATTGTCTATTCTCATCACAAAGTTCAATGTATTTACTGAAAAAGTTTAAAGTTTGTGATGATCATTTCATGGTTTCAAAGCCAATCAAGCTTGTAGCTGCTTGAACGTTATTGGCTGATCAGATTAAAACATGTCAACTAAGTGTTGTTGCTCATGACAATTACTGTAACATTGAAGATTCTCACGCCCGTTCATCGATATTTTTCCGACTGTGTCCGAATGTCCAACGATCTTTCAAACATGTTATAAATTCCTAAAGACTAAAGTTCATTTATAGTAAACCCGTTTATATATATATATATATATATATATATATATATATATATATATATATATATATATATATATATATATATATATATATATATATATATATATATGTCTAATCATATGACATATATCTCTTCCCTCTTGGTAGGGACACAGATGAAGTACATACAGAGATCTCACTTCAGGTTAATTTCGCGTAAGGGATTTTTTCAGTCCGCCATGTTCTTAGCAAGTGCCCTAAAGAGAGGCAGTCACCCCCTGAAAACATATTGAAAATTTAATATTCCAGGGGGTTGAATGCCTCTCTTTAGGGCACTTGCTAAGAACATGGCCGCCAGCTATTTCGGTAAAAAGCGCCTTACGGTTTTGTAATGACAGTTACACTCCTGTACGTCTTTATTCTGTGGTAGGGAATTTAACCAAATAATTTAATGAAAAATCAAATGCCTCACATATGCCTGACCATGCATGGGCTGCGGCTTAACTTTCATTTGTGAAAAATTAAAAGTAATGGTCTTTTATTTTCTTTATACAATTTTGAATAAAAAATATGTTGTGCAACCACAACTACTGCCGATACTTCATTTTTGAAAGATATAATGGTTTGGGTAGCAAGGCGAGGGGTCACTGCATGCATGTATTTCTAGTAGCGTTGTATTATTATTAGACAGATTTAGAAAAGACGACGCGACCTCAAAGACGACGTGAGAATGACGTGTACACCTCGCGTTCACTTCCGGGTTTTAATTTGGCACGGCTTGTTT